ATATATATATATATATATATATATATATATATATATATATATATATAGTGTCCAAAGAGAGAAAAAAACCCAGCTGCTACTATTTAGTTAGCTGTTTTATGCTAATTTGAGTATTTTCAACTAATTCCACATTTCTTGCACTCATTTAAATTTTTTTTCAGCCTAATTCAGCAAAAATGTGCTCTCTCCACTTCCTTCTGGTAATTTAAGCATCTTTCTGCTTTTTAAACTCAGCTGTTTTTTTTTTTTGTTTGTTTTGTTTTTTTGCTAATTTCAGCTGTTTTCAGATAATTTCCACTTTTTTGGTGTTCATTGTTGCTTTATTTTCAGCAAACATGTTCTTTTTGCTTTCTTCTGCTAATGTAGGCTTGTTCTTCCATTTCAGCTACGTTTCAGCATGTTTTTAGCTAATTTCAGCTGTTTTTCAGCAAGTTCTTCTGCATTAAGCATTCACGCTAGATTTTCACAGGAAATGCAGTTTTGTTTAAAAGCTGCTCTCTTCCTCAGGGGTCGCCACTGCAAACTAACTCACATGAAGACTTGACAATTATTTTAGCTTCCTGACGCAACCACAGCTCGCTGTGTGGAGCAGACGGAGCATGGTGGGGGTTCGGGGCCTTGCTCAAAGGCCCAGAGTGGGGTAAACAAAGGAGGTGTGTGTGCTCCACCTTTCCCACCCATATTTTGATGGTGTCGGTTCAGAGAGTCATACCGGCGACCTTCCGATCACAGGCCGACCTTCTCTAACCTCTGCACCACCGCTCCCACTTTTATACAAATATAAACAATGAAAAGAAGAGTGGTGATGTCATCATTACTGCCAAGTCAATATGGTGACGTCATCATTACTGCCAAGACTTTTAATCCACAATAAGCTGTGTTGTGATGACAGTAGCCATACGTGATGCTGTAAAACATCACGTTTCTCCAAAAACAAATGGATTTACCGTATTTTTCAGACTATAAGACGCACTTAAAATCCTTTAATTTTCTCAAAAATCGACAGTGAGCCTTATAATCCGGTACGCCTTATGCATTAATTCTGGTTGTGCTTACCAGATTTACCAGTCAGCACTGTGGTTACCAGTACCGACCTTGAAGCAGTTTTATGTGGTACAACTGAACAATGTTGAGAGTTATTGTGAATGAGTTGAATAAAGTTTGACTTATCTGACTGTTTTGTTTCGCTTAATGCGCCTTATAATCCGCTGCACCTTATGTATGAAAACAGACCCGTTCTTTGATATTGCACCTTATAATCCAAAAAATACAGTAAATGGCAAAGACTTTCAGTGATGTCACACCCTCCAGTAGTTAAATATGAGATTTGTAACTTTCAGTAATGAATGCATCCGTGTGGACGACATCTTTGTGGTTAGTTAACATTAAGCCTGAACGACGGCCAAATGTTACTGAACGCAAACACATCTGTTTTTATTTATTGACACAGTTCCCTGTAAAATACTGATAATAATCATCTGAGTCTTCTTGGATGAGTTCCCGTTTCACTCTGAAAGTGTTACTGAAACTTACGTGGCTACAAAATCCACATGTAATTGTTTTCCTGTTCCTCAGGAAATGGTTTCGAGACAAAGCAGAGAAAATTTGGAGGCAAGCTTAGGTTTTAAAAGCGTGAGGAGCCGGACTTAAAGAGCAAAAACAGAGAATTCTGTTCTCCGTTTGCTCTTTATACATGACAGAAGTGAGGTTAGTTTCAAAGTCAGCCTATTTGTGCAACTAGTTCAACACTTTAAATAAATTCTAACTATAACAAATGGTTGCTCTGTTGGTAGAGAACGTTTTACAAATGATTATATTTCTTTTCTCTTTATGTTCATTAGTTTGTCGTACATGTTTGGACACACCAAGTCCTACTGTATGCTTGGAGTTGGTTCTTCAAACTGTTTGTTTTGTACATATACAGCGTTTAAAAGCACAGAGATGTTCATAAGTTTAAAACATTCTCCTGCAAATTCATGGAAAAATGTGAAGTGTTTTGCTGTTCGGTCTGTGCCGTTTAACACCCTTCGAGTTTGTTTTCCAGGATGGTTGCCAGGTAGTGTGTTGAACCACCTTTTCTCCTAACCTTGTATCACCATCTACTGGTGACAATGTACCCATGAGACATGCAACTGTGCTCTGAAATACAGATTTTCATATACAGTATACTTGTTTTTTTTGGGGGGGGGGGGGGGGGCTTTACCCCCTTTTTTTGTTGTTTTTGGAATTATTATTGTAAAATGATCTTTATCAATAGTTCTTCAAGTTTTCTGAAGTTCTGTGATTTTTATTTTAACTTGGGTGCTTGTTCACCCGCCTTCTGTCCAGTACCGGATCATTTTAGAGTCACAGGCTTTTAGTTTGTTGGTCCACTTTTGAACCATTCAAACATAAAAAAAAAAATCCCCTCAGCTCACTGTTAAACCAACAGTTTGTCACAGAGATGCAATTTGTTCTCATTTCTTTGGTTGAATCTATAAAAAAAACACAAAATAAATAATCCAGCTGGACCCATAAAATTAGATTGTAGCACCAACCGTGGGATCCACATTAGCTGAAAAGTTGACAGATGATGTTGCTTCTCTGAGGTTCTGTTTCAGCTCTTTACTGAACTTTTCCCTCTTTTTTTAAAGACACAACTTTCAGATAGTGTTCATCTGCTATTGACAGTTTTCTTTTAGTGCTGACACATTGTCTTTTATCCTCAACTTGTCCTCTATCCTTGTGCTTTTTTTAAAACCCTCCTGCTGCCCTTAGGTCAAAATGACCCAAGGCCTGGAGTTAAACATCGACTGCACAGTATGCTGTCACAACCAGGTACATAAACTGGACAGAAAATGGATTTAAAAAAAACAACCAGAATCCAAATAAATCATTTGAAAGACCTCCCGAATGTCTGAGCTACTGATCAAGAGCCTTTCTAAGGATTGCATGAACGTCTAGCTGCTTGGAAGTAAAGATGTTTAAAACTTTTGCACAGTGCTGCATGCTGATTTTAAACCCGAGGAGGTTCCAGACCTTCCTTTAACATCCTAGAACTGTGGAGCACTCCCATCTGACTTTATTACAATCCCCAGAGAAACAATTTCCCTGCAGGTTAAAAACTGCTGCTTCCAGCTAAAAGACCCCAGAAGGATTATGGGTAATTTGATGCGCTTCAGACGTCAACTTGTCAAGACTCCAAGTCATTTTAGAGGCATTTCTAAAGCACTGGCATATTCCCTGTAAGCTAAAATGATCGCTTGTGTTGAAGACATTGATTCTCAACTAAACTGCAGCAGATTGACGGCAGCTTTCACAAGTTAAACCCTTTTTGTTTTTTTATTTTTAAAGAGTAAACAAAGTGTCAAAGGTTATCTTTTAATGTGGATTTGCCATACAGTATATACGTGTTCATCTAAAACAAATCCTCATCAGTGTCTTCTGTTAACGCTTCACTTCTTGCCCTTCTGCTCCTGACACAAATCAAAATGTTTTTCACAGGCGATGGTGATGCCGGCGACGAAGGGTAAGAACTCCTCGAAATCCAACTCGTCGTCTTTGTTTTCGTCCAGATCTTTGATGATCCGCTCCACGGTGTCGGAGCTTTTCTGGCTCTGACAGAAACAGATGGTGCGAAGTTGAAAACACACAATTTACATCCAGAAGCTGTGAGGGTGACTGGGGAGCCTTACCTTCAGGAAGCTGGGCAACTCGTTCTCAATCAGTTTTTTCAGTTCCTTCTTGCTCAAGGTGGTTTTATTTCCACCCTCTTTGGCGTAACGGTGGAAGACGACGATCATGGACTCCATGGATTTCTCCAGTTCAGTCATGGCTGCAGAAGTGAGCAGAGCACTGGAAGGAGAGAAAAAGAGGAATGGAAACTAAACTTTCATTCTTTTTCCTTCTTATGTTACAGCTTTTGTACGTCAATTCACTTCAGTTTATTTCTATAGCGCCAAGTCACAACAGAAGTCGTCTCAGGGCACTGAGCAGAAACATTCATATATAAAAATAATAATTTAACACTATTTATCTGAGGAGCAGACTGCTTTGAGTTTAACTCCATCTCAAACTCTCATCTTGAGCAAGCATGAAAGCGACAGTGGAAAGGAAAACTCCCTTTAGCAGAACCAGGCTCAGGACAAGCGGCCATCTGCTTCGAATGGCTGGGTTTGAGAGGAACAGATACACAATGGCAGGTCAAGAATCACATGTTAAGATAGAAATAGCATCAAATTAAAACTATTCAATTTTAACAGATTATTTAAGGAAATTATGTCAATTTGTCCTCCAGTAGTCTAAGGCACCATAACAAGCCAACCCTAACTATAGGATTTATCAAAAAAGAAAGTTCCAACTGGACAATGTGTCAGTCCTATGGACAGAGACTGGAAGTTGGTTCCACAAGAGAGGAGCCTGGTAAGATCTTCCTCCCATTCTCCAATAATGGTGAATCAGGTCATCTGGACAGTTTCTTTTTTGTGGAAAGACGTTTCGCCCTCTATTTGGAGGGCTTCATCAGTCTGAGGAGTCTCAAGTAAACGATTTTCCCCACTAAACAGTGCACTTCTTTAGTGAAGCAACCAGTTTGCTGGTGAAAAGATGGTTTCTGGGGGCTGTCCTGTCCCCTGTCGACTCATCCCAGACAGGCAGCCACAGCCAAAGTGGTTCAAGACATCAAAGTTCATGCTCAGTCATCCAGGTACAAAATCCAATAATGGTCAATCAGGTCATCTAGACAGTTTCTTTTGTTGGAGTGGAGCAACCAGCAAACTGGTTGATTACCATTATTGGATTTTGTACCTGGATGATTGAGCATGAACTTTGATTCCTCCCATTCTGCTTTTGGAAATCCTAGGAAGCGTGCGTAAGCCTGCAGTTTGAGAGCAGAGTGCTCTGTTAGGAAAATATGGAACAATAAGATCCGTAATATAAGATGGAGCTAGGTCGTTGAGGGCTTTGTAGGTTAGAAGTAAGATTCTGAATTCAATTCTTCAGAGAATATGGATTTATTTTACACAAAAGTACTTATACACACTGTTGGTATAGTTATTCACAGCTCAGACACATGCACCTTCATTAAAAGTAACAGTCACCTAAAACCAAGACGGATCTCAGTGAGGATGTGGGTGTTGGTCTCATTGGCACTCAAAGCAAATTCTTTAGGACCGACATCACTTTTTGGCCCCTTAAACATGAAATCTTTGCCCCATTTCTCCATTTTCTCGTTCATTTAGCCATTATTAGTTTATTCCAGCCACACCGAGGAGTTTAAAGCAAAATGAACAGACATTTTGCAGAGGAAGGAAAGCAGAGGACATGCTGCAGCTACGAGGAGTTAGAAACAAGCCTTAAGCTGAGAGGAATAGGAAAAACAAACAGGTTTGGATGCTTTAAAAAAGGTTTTTAAAGGCTTACCAGATCAGGATGAGACACAAACTGTGAGCTCCAGTGAAGAGTGCTGTGGTTTGCTGGAAGTTGATTCAGGAGTTTGTAGTCAGTTGGGAAACGCCCAACATGCCGTGGAGGAGGAGGAGGGAGAGAGGAGCAGACAGAGGAGGGAAAAAAGAACAATCCTCGAGTTTCTCCTACATGAAGTTCATATTGAAGAGATTAACTGTGTTTTAACATCGGTGCAGACAAGAAGGGAAAACTCGATAACTTTCAAACTGTGTGCATTGTTGGCAAGAGCACACCGTGACTACAGCAAAGTGTTTTATGTCTTCATACCTCAGACACGCAGCTCCACTAGAGGAATCTGCTGACAGTCTGCAAGTCTGAACAGAACAGTCCTGAGCAGAAGTCTTGACCCTCATTCTTCAGGTTGGGCTTGCAGGAAGCCAGACGTTTTCATCTTTTTAAAATGGTCGTGATCAGTAACTCTAGAGTTTCTGAACATCTTTGCTCAGACCTCAAAAATTGAACCAGTGTTGTGTCGGCACAACTTTAGAAAAATCATTTATTTTAAACGTGACCTTTAGGTTTTGTTACGAGCAGCTTGCCAAAAAAGGTCATTTGTTTCCATATCTTCAGCTGAATCTGTGAAAAATATCAAACACAACATAACAAAAAAGTTTCAATCATGTCATCTAGACCAGTTTCTCTCATCCGAAGGACTTCGTCTGTCTGTGGCCTGTCACAATCTCATCCGGTTGGCAGCCCGCAGACTGAAAAAGTCCTCTGGATGAGGGACAAAATGTTTCTCACGTAAAGAAACCGGTCCAGATGACATGATTTAACCTTTTTTGTTGTCATCTACCTGGAAGATGGACCTTACGAACCTTTTTCTGAGCCACTTTGGCCTTGGTGTCCTCAGGCCGTTTCTGTGAGTAGAAAGTTGGCCACCTGGCCTAAAACATTTGATTATTGTACATGATTGTTTTTGGATGGGTGTGTTTTTCACATGTTAAGTGCCTACTTTTGAGATTCCAACAGGAGGTTGGCTTGAAACACAGCAGTGAAGGCTACGTGTGGGACAGATCCGGTTGGCAGGCTGCAGACTGAGGAAGTCCTCTGGATGGGGGACAAAACATTTCTCACTTAAAGAAACTGGTTCAGAAGACATGATTTAACTTTCGTTATCTACCTGGATGATTGAGCTTACAAACCTTTTTCAAAACAACATAGTTTTACACAGAAAATAGTATTTTAGCACCAAGAAGGTGATTCCCAAAGAGAGGTTGTCTAAATACGCAACATAAAGATGATCGACTGAAGGATGGTGCACCTCTTATAAACATCTTTCGGTCATAGAAAACCATTTGTCCACTTACCTCATTTTTTTCTAGGTACAATTGGGCAGAAAACAAGTTTAAAAAGCAGCCAAGGCCAAAAAAAGCCCATCAGAAAGATATGAAGACTTTGAAAATGACTTAAAACTTTAACACAGCTGTACATTTGTGTGGTCTGGGCACAACAACATGAAGTCTTTAAAGCTATGGGGGTGTCTTATTACATTTGTTTACCGATCATATTGTGTATTTGCTCACTGATTTAGGCAGAACCACCCAGTTGATGTTCCACACAAACAGCTTCACTGCAGCCGCTGTGACACACGTCTCCTAAAGTTGAGGCTTTGTGACAAACTAGTCATGTCTTACTCAACGATTTTATTGCTGCAGCGTAAAGGAATAATTTTGATGGTGCATCCTTTTTGACCCCTTCAAAATAAAACTCCAGCAATGCTTTCAGAGTAACATCAAGGTTTCATGAGTAGATGTTTCTGATTCATTAGGGAGAGAAGATGAACGCACTCGCTTTGCGTCATCTATTGCAGGACACCATGAAGATTTTTTCTTTCTTTCACCACTGCTGTCCAGATTAACACTTTCCAAATTTAACTTTTTGTAAAAATAAAAAAAAAGAAATTTATTTTTACATCCATTGCCCATTATTTGACAAATGACTGGAAGGGAGAAAATCTGGCTCCTGCAGGAATCGAGAATTTTTACCCATACGCGACACACTAAACACGGTTTGACAAAAGAACAAAACAAGCAAAGTCTTTTTTTACATATTTTAATTATAAAACAAATGAGGAAAACCAAGAAAAAAAAAAAAGAAATTTGCTGTTGGATGTTCAGAAAATGTGAAAGGAAGGTCGAATCTCTTTACGCTCATCAGTGCTGAGGAAACGGGGATTGATGGAATGTAAAAAGTTACTTCAGGATTCGTTCACTATGAAGGCCACATACAGACCTGGGGCACTTTTCAAAACCAACATACAAAGAAACATGACTCACTGAGTTAAGTAGCTTTGACAAAACTGTGTTACAGTAACAACAGCACCTTGATCGTACTGACTGGCTAACAGCAGGAAAGTGTCACGGCAGATTCTTCAGTTCTTCTTTTTGCTCTTGCCGGGAACTTTGGCCAGAGGAACTGCGGGAGCAGCTGCTTGGTAGAGAGCAGCGGATATCTTGTTGATGTAGTACAAGGCGAAGAGGGAGAATATCAGACTGGACAGAGAAAAGTACAAACAAACACGTTTAAAAAGTGGCTAAATGTAACATTGATGCTGCTGCACAGAGGTCACTTACCAGGTGGTGACGCAGACACGGTGAACCAGACCAGAGGCAAACAGCGACAGGAACAAGCACAGCAGAACTGACAAACAGCAGATCGAACAACATAAATGAGGAGCACAGCCTTAAGACCAGAGACTATGACAGTTTGAAAACTTTAAAATTATTGAAACAAAGCAAAAGCTTGTATATAAAAAGCTAACTTATTTATGTTTAAATAAAAGAGGTGATGTTTACATACATTTTCTTAACGACAATTATCGTCTGGGTGTTAAGAGAGTTTACACTCGATACTGAAAAACTGCTACAGAAATCTTAAACTAAACAATTAGGGAAAAGTGAAAGTGTGCGCTGAGGTTTAGTTTCAGTCACTTTTTACTTACTCTCTGGGAATATCTTGGCTTGGAATCCTTTTCCGAATACCAGGTTTTCTAGATTATTGAAAGCCTGAAAATGAAGTTAAGGTGCAACATCAGGTTTGGATTTTTAACGTGGAAGCATAGGAACAAACTCTTGGGGATTGTGAGGACATGCAGCAAAACTGCAGGCATAGCCCTACAGAACCTCACTGGTCCACACAAGGTGAGATCAGTGAACAAGACCAGGCTTATTCTGGCAGATCCTGATCACCCGCTCCATGGTGAGTTCAGGTTGTTTCCATCTGGACGTATCTGCTGCCCAGATGTAGAACGAACAGACTGAAAAATTCATTAATCCCTGTAGTGATCAGGCTTCTCAATGAACAGTGGTGGCTTCTGTTCTGTTACTTTAGTGTTTTAATGTCTAGTATAGATGTTTTATGTGTATACTGACTGTGAAACAAACTGGCCCTTGAGGATAATAAAGATTATTGAACTTGAATGCTCTATAGATTGAAAGAAAGACAACAGATTAACGCCTACAGATGAGGCTGTGAGAAAACTAGTTGGTAGAAAAAAATTAATAAATCCAGCTCAGAGGTTAAGAAAAAGTAGACTTTACAACATCATAAAGATCAGGAAACAAAAACATAGAATGAATCAAATGTGCACATTTGTTTTCTTTATATTAGTGGTTAATGTGACCTCGAATTAAAAAATTGTAAGCAACGTTTGTGGCACCAACTCCCACGTGGGTTTGTTTACAACCATGGTGACTGAAAAGAAGTCACTTCACTTGTGACGAAGAATTTAGGATAAACAAATCTGACCATTTGGATGCATTAGTTTGTATTTATATTCAGATTTGTGAAGTATGCAGATAAAAAGATGATTGGTTTGAACTGGTCAACTCACTGGTCTAGCAGAAGTTTAGCAAAATTCATGCGTTTTAAATGCTGAGCTCTGTCTTTATTATTTATTATATTATTGTTTGAGTACACAATTTCGTTCCACCTCATGTACCACACGCGATGCAAATAACAGTCACCTTGAACCTTTATGGCGCTTATCTGCGCAGACTACAGCCAGCCGACTATAGATCAAATCTCTTGACTTAAACCGAGTGCTTCATTTATATGGAGTGCATACGCACATTTTACAAATGTGTATCAATATATCTGGACAAACTTCCGGAGTAAACTCTTTCAAAATTTGATAAAAGTTCAGGGGAACCATTTTAAAGTTTTATTTCATACTTTTCGGTCAGTACTTTTAAAGCGTTAATGAGGCTAACATTTCACCACAAAGGATACAGTGAGGGAGCAGATGAAGAGGACTGAGCCCAGGAAACCTCCCAGGATGGTGAGCCACTCAGTGGATCCCAGCTGTTTGCTGAACATCTGCATCCCAGCAAAAACCAGCACCGACAGCAGGCTGGAGAGAACCAAGGACGTTCCTGTGTTCACTGCTGGGAAAGCCAGAGACAGGAAATGTAAAACAAAGCGGTGACACTTACTGGAGCTTATATTATTCCATGCAATAGTTCAGTTCTTATGGATGGAAAGAGACAGCAAGCTGCATTTAGTTACCAAACCACTTTATTTATAAAAGCACAGAAACAACAAGGCCAACCAAAGTAACAAGCAACATCATAAGCTAGCAAATGTCTAAATTACAGAGCATAATATTGCCTGTAGGTTTACAGCATATTTCTTTCTAATAGAAAAGTCATAAAAAACCGACATGTTTGAATTTGACAGCTTCTCCTTACGCCACGTCATTGTTCGAACAGAAACGTATCCGACGTAGCTCTTAACCCACATTATTACAACCCGCCTCTAGTATAATGTTCCACGCAACGATTAAATATAAAACATTTATATTCTAGAGCAACAATCGTTCCTGAACTAAATCTTGTTGAGCTAATAATTATTTATCGTTTAGCGTTAGCTTAAAAGTGCTCCACTTGTATTAAACTTTCTTCGTGAATTCAGTTGAAGCTTTTAATTTAAATAAAAAATTGTACAACATACCCATGACTGAAAATTTAAATGAATCCACTCCGGGAGACAAAACTGAAAGAAGAAAATTTAACTTCTCTAGGGGGAAACACCGGCCCACGGAAAGAAAATTTAAGACTCGCTACCCGGAGGTAATTTCAAGACGGACCAGTAGGCGGAGCCTTAAAGTGATAAGTTAAAAATCACAGCTTTCAGTTTCAAAAAAGGCTAACCTACTGTCTTACCTGGGCCGTAAATGACTTTAATTTATTTTTGTAGCGAATTTAGTAATATTAAATCTTGTCAAATGCTATTTAAAGTTATTTCCAATACTGTTTGGTTTGCATTTGGCAAAGTGAAGCCCATGTATTTTCTTTTAAAATTATTCACCTATTTAAAATGTATTCTTGACTTTTGTTCCTCACATTGTTTCAATGAGTTTTCGTATTTTCTGTTTATTCCCCGTTTGTACAATAGCTGAGAAACCTTTATATTATGAATTTGTGCTTCCAATTCAACTTTTGATGTTTTCTTTTAGCCTCCCTGTATATAGTACATCAATTGTTTGCAGAATTGTTGTACTAAACTTATCTGTTTCTTATTCCCATTTCATATTTAGGTGTTTTAATGAAAGACTTCAATTATCCCCCAAACTAGCTTGTAACTTGTTCCTAACTATTTTTGATTTAACTGCTAGAATCTTTTTGCAGCTGCAGATTAATTTATTTCATATACACTGATGATCAAAATTTATCAACACAATAACTGGAGGATGATAAATGGACTGTACTTGTATAGCGCCTTTCTATCTTATCGAGATACTCAAAGCACTAAACACCACAATTTGTGTCCTCATTTACCCATTCATACAGCACTCTACTAGATCTCTACAAAGCTAATTGAACAAAACATTCTAAAGAGACTAATCAGTGCTTTATCACATTCATACACCGATGGGACACACATGAGGCAACGAGGGGTTCAGTGTCTTGCCCAGGGACACTTTGGCATGTGACTGCTCATGGATTTGAACCCCCAACTCTTGCATGGACGACTGCTCTAACCACTCAGCCACAGCCGCCCTATATAGGATAAAAACCCTAAAACTAAACTTTCATTAATTACTTACAAACTAAGTGTCTGGCTTTGCCTCTATCACAAATCAACATCAGCACAAGATACAATACCGTAAAAGGAAAAATAAACATCACTTTTAGACAAATCACATAAGAACAATTAACAAAGAAAAGCTTGTCAAGAAGTTCATTTTGCAATAAAAACAGATTTTATTTGTGGGAAAAAAACAAAACTAAAATCCACCAAGATTGTCCTAAATACACTCAACTGGTTTGTGGAGCCACTGGTTTGTGTTGTGTAGTTGATTAATCAACTACAGAACTGTTGTTACAGTTTAGAAAACTTCACAATTTTTATGAAACCAGTGTTTGAAAAAGTCTATAAAAAATAAATTATCTACATATCACTAGATTTATTGTAGGAATATTTGGGTGAAACTCTTGATGTTCTCTCTATAAAATTAAAGACTTGTAAAAAAAACATTTAGAAAAGTTACATTTACAAGAAGCGTACAGACTGACGGCAGAAAATATGTTTTAATTGTGAAATGTATCGACAAATCTAATGAAATACTTCAGACAATTTTTGAAAACCTAACACTACAATATGTTTCAAATAAACTATTTTCTCTTTGTACCTTTCAAATATAAAAAAGAAAGACTTCTCTTGTTCCTTGATGTTTGCTGGTGCTGTTCTGTAAAGTATCAGGGCCATTTTCGTCAGGTCACTCTTCTGTAGATCATTACTAACTCATGGGTCTTCAGTCTACAGTATCTGTTATTACTCTGAGAGGTGTCTTTGACCAGACGGAGCTGAATCATTTTCATGTCTTGCCTTTTACAAGGGCTTCTTCTTCAGTCCAAAAACTGCAATAAACAGAAGAACCTCCACAAAGGCTGGCAGGACACTGGAAAGATAGGTAGAAACAGAACCATAAGGATTCTTCATTCTCATATTCACCATCTAGTTAGCCTCTGTAACTAGGATTTTTAAAACATTACAGCTACACACAGGCACACCAACCTGCAAGTGGCAAAAATCACCCAGTAAGTCCAGCATTCCCACTTCTCAAACACAAAGAAAGACAAGGACACAGATGCACTGCAATGGACAGCCAATGCTGGAGGAAATTTTCAGTCAGGGAAAAACTTCTAAAAAAAAAAAAAAAAAACACTAACCTGCAAATGGCAAGGATCCACCAGTAGATGTCACAGTCCCACTGCTCAAACAGAAAGAAAAGCAGAGCCACTGAGGCACTAGCATGGACTCCTGTAGCTACAGCAGGCCAATCGTTACACATAAACGAGTCTGAGTCATGGAACTGTAACTGGCGACTCAAATAACTGACCGATTCCAAATAGATGCTTTAGTTAATAACATTTCCTTGATTATTTACTCCTATGTTTTCATTTGATCCATAAAAAGGAGAGAGACCTTCACAAGGAACAACTTTCACAAAGTGGAAAACTTCTGCAGCTGTAGTTATGGTGCTCTTTTCACTATTATTCAGCAGCAGCTGAAGAAATAAGTATACGGAACACACCTTTAGCCAAATGTTTACTGGTGCTGAGCATAAACATTTTGAATATTATTGGTCTTCATTTGTGAGATGTCACACATCACCAGTGTAAAGGATACACAGGAGACCTTGGCTGCAGTTGAACATGGACACTCCTGAAAAGAAACCAGCCAGCTCGATTCCAAACAGACCGAGAGTCACTGCCAGAGCTACCACCAGTCTAAAAAAAAAAAAGAAACACATGTTAGAGTGTAAGGTACTCACGAGTTTTAAATTTATCAAACATCTACTCACTTTTTGTCTTCAGTGTCATACTGCTCTTGTGTGAAATCCAGAGGTAAACATGCCTTCACATTATTTTCCTGTTTAAAAAAAACAACAAACTGGCATGAATTTCTCAACAGAACAGCAGCGATTAGTATGCCTGTTGTGTTTATCTCGATTCATAATCTCAGGTACTGAAAAGTCTTATATGTTGCTTGATTTTTTTTCTTCTTTTTATATACTTTACATTTCAGATCAACTGAATTTCTGAGTCTTATTGTATTTTAATTCCATATTTGTTGATAGTATGAAACTGTCAGATCACAGCTTTCATAAACACATGATTCGATTAAAAAAACGCCGTATCTCTTAGACAATGAAACACTATTGCTTTATGCTTTGATAATGTTCTCACCACTACATACTCTGGGATGAGTGAAAAATATTCACCATAAAAGGCTGACAAATGGGAATGTCCCCAAGCTCACGAAAAGCTCATTTTGGGGATAAAATATTTTTACACATTGGAAAAGATATGTTCATAAGAAACATGTTGCATTCTTAAAACTTCAACTATCCAATATAATACAAAACAGCTAAAATTAGCATACATCATGTATCAATATTTCAAGTTCAAACATACTGTAAGCAACATCTTATAGTATCCATCTTATGTAAATGATTTATCGAATACTTTAATTAATAAAAATCACATCGAACCAATTACAGTAAATCTAGCAAAAGATTAAAAAAAAATCTCGTTCTAATCATGAAAGTCAAAAATTAAAAAGGTCATATTTACTTACCCTTGACCAGAAGATGGTGATAACAATGACAAGGTGAGCTATGATGGTGAGAAACCGTGCAGGGACAAGACTGCTAATAGCCGACATGCTATTATTGTTTACTTTCAGTTATACAAAGTTAATGAAAACAGCAAGTGAAGTAAAAAAAAAAAATAGCAGTTAACTATAAAATCGATATCGTTAAAAGTAGATGTGTTTTACGAAGCACGTCTTAGCTTAAAGTGCTAAAACTTCCAATTGTGAGCCTTTATTCAGCATGTAGCTCAAGTAAAAAAAAATAAAAAAAACCTTAGCAAGCTAAGCGGTTAGCTTAAAATCATCTATAGATTTTAGCTTACAAGCTTCTGTGCATTTGTTTGTGGTATCTTACTTTAACAAACACAGCCAACATCTTCACGTTGCTACTTCAAAAAACTGTTACTACAACAATCACAGGAAAAGTCCGCACGATATTATTGACCGGAAGAACAACGAACATTTAAAGGTTCCGCTGTTCTTTAATTGTCGTCATTGTTTTATTATTTTGCTTTTTGTATTTTCCTTTAAACTTATCTGCAAAACTGTTTCCTTTTTACTGTCCTTCGTTTGTCCAAGAAAAACTATATGCTTGTAGTTTTCCTGCCGTACTTGTTGTTTTGAATAAAGCACAATATACCAATGCGCATGCGCATTTTCTTCTTCTTCTTCGTCTTGTGTTTTATGGCGGTTGGCAAGCAACGTTTAGATGTGCATTACCGCCATCTACTGGAATGGAGTATGGATCGGGATGCTAAATAATTACTATAGGTTTAACTAAATAAAATAATAAGAAAATAAGAGAAAAAAAAAAAAAAAAAAAAAAAACTATATTCTCTCGATTATTTCCGTCTTCTTAAGGTAGCTTAACAAAAAAACAACAAGTTCAGAAGTGAGAAGTTTATCCAAAAGATCCTGTATATTCAACTGTAGTTTGTTGACCTGTAGTCTATGTGCCAGTTCCTTCCTCTCAGCTGAATATTTGGGACAGAATAATAAAACATGATTCACTGTCTCTTCTTGAAAACAAAAGTCACATTTTCCTGTAGGATGTTTTCCCATTTTAAACAATGTACTGTTTAATCTTGTGTGGCCAAAACGCAATCTGGATATGACTGTTTCCTCCTTTCTATTTCGTCCTGTTCTCCTCATCACACCAACTTTCCTTTGAATGTTATAAAACCACCTGCCAGTTCTTTCTTCTTCCCACTGTTTCTGCCATCTTTCCTTCACCTTTTGTTTAATAACTGATTTGATTTCTCCTTTACTGAATGGTACCAGTATATCAATGTAAGTATTTTTTGTTGCTTGTTTTGCATATTTATCTGCCAACTCATTTCCTTTTATTCCTATATGTGATGGTATCCATATAAATGTAATTAATAAACCCATCGCTTGAATTCTATAAATTAATAATTGAATTTCTAATAAAAGGTCAGGTCTGCTGTCTGAATGATTATTTTTCAATGAGTATAATGAAGAACTTGAATCAGAACATATTATACTCCTTAATGGACGAACTTCCTCAATCCATCCCAGAGCTAAAATGATTCCCATCATCTCTCCTGTGTAGACTGAGACTCCATCAGTAATTCTTTTACCTGTTTTGAAACTGAATTCTGGAACAATGAATGAAACCCCGCTACTGTTATTTGAATTTTTTGATGCATCTGTATAAATTTTAACATATCCATAATACTTACTATCTAAATATGTTTGTATTGAATGAGAATCTGAAATGTTTTCTTTTTTACGATTTTCCAACAAAGTGAGATCAACATCACTATTACTTAAAAGAGATGGGTGAACTGGAGACTGAGGAACTGTTTGACTAATATTTATGTGAGATATATCTAAATCTTTTATAATGTTTTCTACAATCCAGCCAAATGAATTTAATTTCTTTTTCTCTTTTTCCCAGCTAGGTTTTAAAATCTCTTGACATGGATGATTTCCATTATGACCTTTTAACTGACACCAGTAAGTTGAAAGTATTTGTAATCTTCTAAGCTGAAGTGGCATTTCTCCCATTTCCACCAGTAAAGCTGATGTTGGAGTTGTTCTGATGGCACCTGTACATAATCTCAAGGCTTGATGCTGAATATTATCTAATTTTTTGAGTAATGTATCTGATGCTGACCCAAATGCTATACTGCCATAATCAAATAAGGACCTAATTAAACCTGTGTATATTGATTTCAGTGCTTTCCTCTCAGCTCCCCACTCACTCCCCACCAAACACCTCATTACATTTAACACTCTCTTACATTTATCTATTATGTTTTGAATATGCACTTTCCAAGTAAGTTTGTCATCTAACCATATACCCAAAAACTTAAATTGGTATACCCTTTCCAAATCATGATTATATATTTTCAATTTTACATTTTCTGATACCTTTTTTCTTGTAAAAAATAAAGTCTTCGTTTTATCTATAGAAATTTTGAATCCCCATTTAAATGACCAGTTTTCTATTTCATTAATTGCTTCTTGTGTCTTTTTTACAATATAATTTAAATTTTTCCCCCTCTTCCAGATTGCCCCATCATCAGCAAATAAAGAAAACCCCATTCCATTCTCCAAATTTTCAAACATATCATTAATCATAATAGAAAAAAACAATGGGCTCAATATACTTCCTTGGGGAGTTCCATTTTCAACCAAAAATTTTTCTGAAAATGTTTTTCCTATTCTCACTTGTATTGATCGATCTTGTAAAAAATCTTTTATCCAATAAAACATTGAACCATTTATTCCCATCTTTTTTAGTTTTATTAATAAACCTTCCTTCCACATCATATCGTAAGCTTTCTCTATATCAAAAAAAGACAGCCACCACACTCTCCTTATTAACTTGTCCTTTCCTGATTTCATGTTCTAAACATAAAACAGGATCCATAGTGTTTCTACCTTTTCTAAATCCACTTTGGAATCTTGATAAATATCCCCTCTTCTCAACAAAGTAAATCAGTCGTTCATTTATCATTCTCTCCATAATTTTACATAAATGTGAAGTTAAAGCTATAGGTCTATAACTGGCTGGGTTTGATCGTTCTTTACCTGATTTGAGGATTGGAACTATGATTGCTTCTTTCCATGCTTTAGGTAAAAAGCCTAATTCCCAGATCTTATTATATAATTCCAGTAAAACTTTTTTAGATGAATTACTAAGCTGATTAATCATAATGTAAGAGATATTGTCATTTCCTGGAGATGAGTTTTTTGATTTCCTAAGGGCATTATTCAGTTCAAAAAAGGAAAAGGGAGCATTTAATAAGTCAGTGGATCTTATATTTTCTTTTAATAAATGAATATTTTCATTGATTGTACAATTTCTACTCTGTTTCTCTTCTGTACTTAGATTACTACTATTGTGGATTTTAACAAAATGATTGACCAAAATGTTTGCCTTCTCTTCCTCTGTTACAGCAGTAACATCTCCAGCCTTCAGAACTGGATATCCATATTCTCTTCTAAACCCATTCATTCGTTTTATCATCCCCCAAACTTTTGAAATGTTTGTTTCCCTACCTACCGAATTACAAAAGTTTCCCCAATAAACCTTTTTTGCATTTTTTACAGTTCTTCTAACAAGAGCTTGCAACCTTTTATATTCAATAAAATTCTGAAAGTTATGATTTCTTTTTAACAATCTAAAAGCTTTATTTCGAGATTTTATTGCTACATCACAATCCTTTGTCCACCACGGTACGACTTTCTTCTTATATTTCCCTCTCTTTCTTTGTATTGCTTCACGTGCAGCACCTAAAATGGCTTCACAAATAGAAAGATTTAAATTGTCAATATCTAAATCAATATTAACTGTTTGCATTTCTTTATCACTTATTAATTTATATTTTTCCCAATCAGCACTTCCAAAGATCCATCTTTCTACACCTTCATTATCAAATGTTTCCATTTCCAAACCGATTTCAATGAATATAGGATAATGATCACTTCCTATAGTTGATTCTTTTAATACTTGCCAATTACTAATCCCAGCAAGACTCTCTGAAATTAAAGTTAAATCTAATGCTGATTCAGATCCATTTCTAATATTGAATCTTGTCCCCTCCCCATCATTAAGGCAAACTAAATTCTTTAGATCCATTATTTCTTCCACCACCTCTCCATTAGCATCATTACTACTACCCCACAAAGTACTGTAAGCATTAAAGTCTCCACAACAGATTACTTTTCCTTCAATATTTTTAAACATTTCCTCCATTTGATCTAAATAAAGTTTTTTACAGGGATTATAAAAATTTAATATTTTAATACTTTCTTTATTAATCCAAATTTCTACAGATATCCATTCTAATGTTATTCCTTTTTCTAAATATCTATATTGTATTCCTTGTTTTATAAATATTATACATCCTCCTCCACTCTCTTGCTCCCTGTCTCTTCTAATACTGTCGTACCCTTTTATCACAAAATCTAATTCTGGTTTGAGCCATGATTCTTGAACACAAATTATGTCTGGTTTTCTTTTCGAATTGTTTAAATATCCTTTAAATTCTTGACCATTAGCTAATAAACTCCTTGCATTCCATTGAAGAATAATCATTATATTCTTCCTTCGCCCAGTTTTCCATAAGTTTCTAGCTTTTTATTGATCGATTCCCAAGATAAATCCTTCACAGACAGAAATTTCTCTGCACCTTTCACTATGATTTTGATTTTTTCAGTTTTTTGCTTCACTTGATCAGTGCAGTTAATAACATAAGCCATGAACAGAATTAATTTATCCATTGTAATTTCCATTCCTGTCATTGTTCTTTGACTGGATTCAGATTTTGGACTAGGAGGAACTTTAGGATTTCCCTGTAGGCCCACTGCTCTTTTTTCTTGCACCATTTTTGTTGCTTCTGCATAAGTAATGTTTTTAACAGTTTTTATGTGCTGTATTTCTGCTGCCTTCTTCCTTACTTCACATCCCCCATACGCTGCACTATGCTGACCTCCACAGTTACAACATTTCAACTGTACATCTTTCCCACATTCATCATACCTATGATCTCCACCACACTTTGCACATCTTTGCTTCCCTTTGCACACTGCTGCAATGTGACCGTATCTTTGGCATTTGTAACAGCGCAGAGGAGGAGGGATGTAAGGCCTGACAGGAAAACACATGAAACCAATTTTTATTTTATCAGGAAGAGCTTCGCCTTTAAATTCTAAAAGTACCGAGAGACTCTCAATCCTTTTCCCATCTACAGTTTTTAACAACCTTTTCAAATTGCATATTTCTACATCATGAATATTTCTTTTAAGTTTTTCCAGATCTTCCTCAAGTGGAATACCAGTGATAACCCCACGTGATACCTTGTTTTCTCCAATAATTTTCTTTTCACTAACAACCTTTTTGCAAATGTTATCAATCTGCATAGCTTTATTTTTTTGTTCTTCAGATTTACATTTGATCAACAGATTCCCATCACGCAGCATTTTCGCAAACTCCACCTCACCTAGTTTCTTTTTTATATCTTTAGATATCGCTATAGGGCTTAGATTCATGTTCTCATCTTCTTTCTTGAATTTAAGTATGACTTTAAATTCCTCATTTATCACTTTCCTTCTAACCAGTCTGTTTTCATCCTCTGAACTACACTCTTCAAGGCTTCTCTTATTTCTATGGCTGCCAAGCTCTCTGTCATCTCTCACAGCTTTGCCCTTACCTTTTCCTCCTCCTCTACCTACCGGAGTCCAGTCATCAAAATCCATATCCTCGTTGTAATCTACCTGAGTAGTCATCCCGATCCAGTCGCATTCCAGTTTATGCCAACCACCAAATTCAAAAAGAAAAATGAAATATATGGATACAAAAATCTCAAACTTTCAAAAATTTCCCGCCGTTCGTCCGTCAAGGAAGAACCTTCCATGCGCATTTTCTGGCAAAAAATGTCCCTTTTAAGGTAGAAAATTAACCGTTTATAAAAGTGAATGCGAAGAGTTTTTAAATGCTTTTTAATCATTTTGTGAGGAGGCGTGATAATACAGAACATTCTTAAAGAAAAAATAAAATAAAAATACTGTACATGCCTTATACTTAATTCGAGCATGCGCATTAGTAACAATAAAATGGTCGATGCTGCCATCTTGTGGTTACGCTAAAAATTACTAGAAATGGGGGATTATGCAGTGAAAAAACAAAAAACGGAAATATTCAGAAATCTGTTTTTACGTTGTTAGAGGATATAGCGACGCAGGTATAAAATAAGAATAAGTTTTAAAGGTATTTAAGTATTCTATGTTTTTTCTTACTTCACGCAACCTGGGCTTAAAAAACGCGCAGCCTCGAGAAAGCGAGACCTTAGAATAAAAGGATTTACCTATAGCCTATGAAGTGGACATTCATAAGAGACACATGCTTGCAAACTATACTTAACATAAAATAGCTGGAACAGATATACAAAAAGAGCCCGAGTCGGAGATTTCCAACCCCCATTATTTATTTATTTATTTATTTCGGTCTCTTCCGCCCAGTCAGCCTCAGCAGCTTTCCTCAGGCACAATGATTTACTGGTGACGCTTCATCAGTTTAAGGCCTGGATTTCTTCATCGAGCTCCATCAGGATAACCTGTCTCCGGGTCTTCTCCTGGAACCGTCTGTGTGTCGCAGAGACCCTTACAAATCGAGGGAGCATGGCAGCAGCGGACTTACAAACCTTTACCTCTATTATGGACGCGCTGGTTCGCGTTAATGTGAGTATGACTGTTTTTATTAAAGCCTTTAACGAGATATCCCATTTGCCTTATGCAGCTAACACACATGGACGTTATGAAATGTAACCTCTTGAGCATTTGGATGCAGAGGTGTTTCATACGAAGGAATGTGGGCCATTTCTCTGCGAGGTTTTTCTGTATCGATCCGTGGACCTGTTAAAATGACTGAGCAAAAAAATAAATAAAAAAATCCTAAAAGTTGCAGCTTCTAGACAAACGGATGATGTTTGCTGTTTAGCAACATTATTGTAAATCTGTTGGCCAAAACCATGAAAGGCTTTGGGCCGAAAAGGCGGAGGTGATGCTCGTTGTCATAGAAACGGGATGCTGCTGCTGCAAAGAGAAGAGGGGCCACCACAGCCTGTTAGGACTGACATGCCTCCCCCTTGCATGCACGATTTAAAAGCTATTTTCTTCTAATTCTTTGATATAATTTCAAGTTAGAAATACTTTTTTCTTCTTTGTACATTAAACATCGGCCTATACACAGAAACTTGTGTTCATAAACTCTTGACAGCTTCACTTTAGTGTAACGAGCATTTATTTTCTTGACCCGACCCTTTTTTAAAGTTTTAATAATTCTGTTCCTTCCTTGCTCCTCCAGTCCAGTATGAAGAGCATGGAGCAGGAGCTGCGCTGCCCAGTGTGCGATGAGATGGTGAAGCAGCCCGTCCTTCTCCCTTGCCAGCACAGTGTGTGTCTCCTCTGTGCGGCTGAGGTGCTCATACAGAGAGGCTACCCTCCTCCGGATCTCCCTCCGGAGCCCAACTCTCCAGCCTCCACACCAAACACTCGCTCTCCACGAGGGCCACGCAGGCCCACACCCCGGACTCCTGACCGACTCGAGAGGGTCCTCAAAACAGGTAGAGGAAACAGTTTTTATGCACCACAAAGAATCAAGTTTCTTGGTTTACCTGGAACCAAATGACCTCAGCTTTCAAGTGACAGAGGAGAGATAGTTATATAAAAATGCAGAAATGAGGCTGTGATACAACATGTCCTACAGGAGACACAGAGCTTTGTGCATTTGGCTCATTTCTTATTCAAAAACATGGAAAGAAAAGGTCGAAGATGCTAGAAGCATCTAAGAGCCGGGAATAGACAGCGAGGATCTGTCAAGCAAGGTGCTAGCAGTGTGAACACAGATTCAATATTCACATTGTTTTTTAAATCTAACTATTTCAGCACGGCTTGTTGTATTTTTAGCCATTCATACGTCAAAACGTGCAGGAGATGGAGGCTATGACTTTTGGTTTGTGTAACGTTTATACTTTTGTGAATATTTATTTAGATTTTTTTTTCTCAACATGAACTGTTTTTTTATGTGTGTTTATATGAGTTTTCTTAAGCTACTTTTGGCTTTTAGCTACATTTAGCTTCTTTTACCTTAAACAACTTCTTTAACAAATTTCATTAAAGACGCTCAGCTTCTTCCTGCACTTTATAAACTCTATTCCACCCATCTCTCCTCTGCCTCTCCCCCGACCTTCTCTGCACCTGTCACCTTCTCCCAGTATGTGGGACGTACCCCGGTCTGAGGCGACGGGAGGCGGCCCCTCCCCCCATGCTGTTCCCCTGTCCTTCCTGTCAGCAGGACGTGGAGCTCGGGGAGAAAGGACTCGCCGACTGCTTTCGTAACCTCACTCTGGAGCGCGTCGTTGAAAGGTTGACGTGCAACATTTGAACACAAAAACGCACGACGCTGCAAGTCAGGAAGTTGTTTTAGTTGCATCAGATGGAGCAGAGAGGGAGGCAATGTTACCAGATTTCACTCGTAAATTGTTTGCATTTGCTCCCACGACAACAACAACCATCACGTGTTTACAAAAGCGTAACGAGCTAATCAATCACTGCTTGAAGTGGGCAAACAGGAAGTCATTTGTTCCAATAATGAGTCGCTCCTTTACTCCTGATCAAACCAACAGCTGTGTGACAGCATACATTCAAATGGTCAGATTAACTTTTTTTTTTAACTATACTTTAAAATAATTCAAACAGACTCAATCATCGTGAGCTTAGTTGTGAAGTTGGGTCAGAAAGCCGTAGCCACAAACAGCTGACGCTTGTGAGAAAAGTGTGACGCCGTGTGTTTTACCGGCGCAGACACATGAACAAGGCCGGCGACGTATCCAGGTCAGGCAGCTAAAATAAAATAGAGCGATGCGAACGAGTCTCCTTTTCAAACAGATTTCTTTCTGCAGCGCTGCACGTTGGGCTGAGAGTTGTCTTCCCTTCAGGTACCGGCAGACAATAAGTCTGGGCAGCGTGGCGATTATGTGTGGCTTCTGCAAACCTCCTCAGTCTCTGGAGGCCACTAAGGGCTGTGCCAACTGCAAGACGAACTTCTGCAACGAGTGTTTCAAACTCTACCACCCCTGGGGGACGCCTCGAGCCCAGCACGAACACATTCTCCCCACCAACAGCTTCAGGCCAAAGGTTTGACTGTCGTTTCTGAGATCAGCTCACAGCAGCTTCTGTTCTGTGGTGCTTTGACTTATTTTGTGCTGCAGGTCCTCACGTGCACGGAGCACGAGCAGGAGAGACTGCAGTGGTACTGCCGTAACTGCCAAAAGCTGGTGTGTCCGCTTTGTAAGCTCCGCCGAGTCCACCATGGACACAAGGTTTTACCTATAGCGCAGGCCTACCAGGCCCTCAAGGTCCGTGTGCACATCGAGTTTCCACCGTGCTGGATCCAGCAGCCACACCAACCTTGTTGTTTTTACAGGACAAGATCAACAAAGAAGTCAGCTTCATTCTGGCCAATCAGGAGACCATACAGAGTCAGATCACTCAGCTGGAAGCTGCAATTAAACAGATGGAGGTGCGTAAACGATCTCATCCTGCACAACTGCCATTACGTTCAATGCTACATGACTGAATTTACAACAGCTGATCTGTTCAAGTGTTGGAACTGTCGACCGTTAATGATTTTGCTTCTTTGCTTTAACAGCATTTTTAACGATTGTTTTTAATGCATCCATTTATTTTTTATACTGTGGCAACAAAGGGCACCACTCATATAAAAGTTATATTATTACGAACGTTTAGCTGAGTGCAAAACAGGCAAAATCCTAACTATTAACCAAAAGTAGCACAACGGTAAGTAAAAGCTGAGAAGCAAAATTCTGGCTGAATGTAGTTAAAAGTTCAAAGGGACAAAAGACTAGCTGAAAGCAAAATATAGCCAAATAAAAAATAAAAAATTTAAATGGCTAGCTTAAAGTAGCAAAACACCAGCTAAAAGCAGCCTAAACTAAGCTAAACGATGAAAGTAGCAAAAACATAGCTAAATTTAAAAAAGGGGCTAGCTAAATGCTTCATCAACAAAAGGATAGCTAAATGCTTAATTAGCAAAAGGTGATCTGAAAGTAGCAAAAGACTAGCTTGAAGCTAAAATGGGGGAAACTTGGTAAAAGTAAATGTAAGAAAAGACGAGCTCAAAGGGAAAATATCAGGACGATCGTTAAAAACTACATCTAGAAGGACATGTAACAAAAGGCTTGCATATCACATTCATACACTGATGGGACACACATCGGAGGCGATGAGGGGTTCAGAGTCCTGTCCAAAAAGCTAAAAGCTAACAGTAGCTTTTAGCTGTTCAGGCTACGGGAACGTGTTTGAAGGATTCAGAGATCTCAGTGTATTTCTATAGAGATAATGTAGTAAATGAAGTGAAATGTTTTGAAAAGTATAAAAGTTACAAACACTCACAAAGTGCACTGCAATAGTTCGGTTGTAAAAATCATACAGAAAACTTAAAAAATAGCAAAACAACCATGTAAATGCAAAGTCAGTATTTATATTATTAATGTTGTAAACAAATAAAGTAAAATATGAGTTTTGGTTTGTATTTTATGAAATAATATCACCATATCCAACAATTTTCAGTCAGGTCATCTGGACTTTTTTTTTGTGCTGAGATGTTTCACCTTCCAAAAACCAGTTATGTTAGTGCTAAGATGGTCTCTGGGGCACGCCCTCTCCGCCGGTGCCCGCCCTCTCCCTCGTCGACAGTCATGTCAAACTGGTTCAAAACACCCAAGTCCATGCTCAATAATCCAGGTATAAAATCCATTTTAGCACCAACATAACTGTTTTTTTCCACTTTGGAGTAAGCTGCTGTGGGAGAAGCAGTTTTGTTTGGTGTTTCCTTAGACTGATGAAGCCTTCTGGATGGAAGGCGAAACGTCTCAGCACAAAAAAAGAAACCATCCAGATGACCTGACACTGTTGGATTTTATACCTGGATTATTGAGCATGCACTTTGGTGGAATAACACCATATATCACCATATATCACTGTATAAATCACTATATCAAACCACTAAAAGAACCTTGTTCTCAGTCTTTAAAAAGTTTTGAATTAGTTATTTCTGTTCAAATTCATCTGTGAGCTTTAAAAAAAAAAGACAAGATTCCTTCAGAGCTACATCAGGAGTTTAATGAAGATGTGTGGTGCCTGAATGTTTCACCTGCAGGCTAACAGTGCAGTAGCTCTGCAGCAGCTCACTCAGTGCATCAGGGAGCTGGGAGCAACGGTCGCTGAGCGTCAGGGGGCTTTGGCCTCGGCCCTGGAGGGGTCCAGGAGCAGGAGAGAGGAGGCCCTGTCCGCTCAGGTCTCTGAGAAGCAGGGTCTGCTGGAGCAGGCAGGTCTCATGGTGTACACCCAGGAGCTGCTCAAAGAGACGGACGCCCCCTGCTTCGTTCAGGCCGCGAGGGTTACGCACAACAGGTAAGAAAGTTACCAAGATGGACATGGATGGTGCACTTCCTGTTTGTGTCACCCGCCGCCATGATGGGACGCAACTGCTCGTGTCTGTGTGTTTATGTAAAAGTATCTCCACTGAGCAGATTTTAATAACATTTTCAGAATGTGATGATTGGATTCACAGCTACAGCCGATTAATGTTTGTAGTCAACCTGTTTCAAGATGGCCGCCACAATTATCTGACCTCAGCAAACACAAAAGTGTCCATGACTCAGTCAGTGTTGCAGATGCTAATATAAAATTTCTAGTGGTAGTAGCTGAGCATAATCTCCAACATATAATCCAAGAGGTAACGGATTGCATGAGAGTGATGTGTAAAACATGAACAGATGGATGATGATTCAATCCCATCTGTCTGTTAGCAAAATATCTCTCAACCCAATGGATGGATCTTATTGAAACTTTCAAAAAATAATCAGTAGATGTTCTTCTACAGCTGTTTAATGTTTGGAGTCAACCTGTTTCAAGATGGCCGCCACAATTATCTGACCTGAGAACACACAAAAGTGGCTTTAATGCAATCACTTTTGCAGATATGAGCTAAAATGTGTTGGGGTAGTAGCTGAACGTCACCCCCCCTCCCCCCCCAGAACATTTTCATTCAACCTTTATTTAGACAGATAAATCCCATTGAGCCTCCAGGACTCATTTACAAGAGAGACCTGATTTCAACAAAGAATGATGACAACAATGGACAACAGCGACAACAATAGACAGCCACAAAAAGGCATACAGATTTTTTTTTTTTTTTTTACAAATAAGATGGCAAAAAAATTAACAAAACAGCTAGATTGTAAGGCAAATGTAGAAAACTAAAAACAGGAACATGTCAGCATTGGTCCCTGCCAGGAGTCCAACAGATTCTTAAAGACACTTAGAGAGGTCAAGGTCGAGAGCTTCAAATGTTTTTGTAAGATATTCCAGGAAACAGGAGCAGAGTAGAAGAAGGCCCTTTTGCCTAGTTCAGTTCGCACTGAGGGAACACTGCAGGTAATAATGTCCTGAGAGCGCACGCTGTAGCTGCACTCACGCAGAGACATGTAGGAGGAGATGTATGAAGGCAGCAGACCAAGAAGTGATTTAAAGAAGAAAATGTACCAGTGAGAGAGTCTGCATGAAGGTAATGATGTCCAGTTAACCAGTGAATACAGGGTGCAGTGGTGGGTACGATAATCACAGCCAGTTATGAATCTTAGTGCACCATGATAGACAGCATCCAACATCTGCAGGGTTCTTGTAGGAGCGTTCATGTAAATAATGTCACCAAAATCAATTGAGGGAAGGAAAGTCACAGATACGAGGCGTTTTCTAGCATTCAGGGTTAGACAGGATCTGTTTCTGAAAAAGAAACCCAGTTTAACTTTCAGTTTCTTTATCAAGTTTTCCACATGGAGCTTAAAAGAGAGATGTGAGTCGACCAAGATACCCAAATATTTATAGGAATCAACAAACTCAATGGGGACACCATTTGAGGATAAAATTGGAGGAAGAACTGCTGGGACCAACTTCCTATTTGAAAAAAGCCTCCCTTTGGATTTATCTGCATTTAGGACAAGTTTGAGGCGGAACAAATCTGTCTGAATGTAGTTGAATGCAGATTTCAAAAGCTGGAAAGCCTTAGCAACAGTTTTAGCTCGACAATATACAACTGTGTCATCAGCATAGAAATGTATGGATGCATCAGGGATGCTCTGACCTACATTACCTATGTAGATTGTAAAGAGGGTGGGTCCTAAGACTGAGCCTTGTGGTACACCATTGTTGAATGTTAAATAACTGGAGGAAGTACCATTATGTTGAACACGTTGCCTCCGGTCTGAAAGATAGTTAGAGAACCAACCAATGGTGTGATCTGAGAAACAGATTTCTGAGAGTTTATGGCACAAAATGTTCTGATCCACAGTGTCAAAAGCTTTAGACAGGTCTAAGAAAAGTGCAGCACAATAATCCTTCACATCCAGTGCTTCAACAACATCATTAAGAACCTTCAGTGAAGCAGCGGTTGTGCTGTGTTGTTTCCTGAAACCAGATTGATGTGGAGGTAAGATGTTAAATGAGTCCAGGTAATTTTTGATTTGAAAGTTTATCAAGTTTTCTAGAACCTTGGCTAAAATGCAGAGTTTAAAGATTGGTCGATAGTTGTTCAGCGAGGTGGGGTCACCTCCCTTCAGTAAAGGAAGAACAAAGGCTGTTTTCCAAGTGTCTGGGATGGAGTTTTGTCTTATGGAGAGATTGAAGATTGAAGCGGGGTCACAGGGACTGTGATGATATGAGCAGCCAGCCTTAAGAAATAAAGTGGAAGTTCATCTGGTCCTGCAGATTCTTTAGAATCAAGATCTATTAACAGTTTATTGACCTCACTAACTGAGAACGGAGAAAAAGAGAAGGTGTGATTAACTGAGGATTGACTTGTAGGAGGGATTTGATTTGTAGAAGTTTGATTCTGATTTCTGATTTAAGGTCGCTGTTTAAAAGTTCAGCATTTAAAGCTACAAGCTCTTTTATTTTGAATTTTTTTAAAATAAATGTTTTTTTTTTCTCTTCGTTTCAACGCCACCTTTCGCTCTGCAGGCTGCTGAAAGCCAAAGACAACCTGCAGAGTTTCTCTGTTGCTGCTGAGACCTCCTTCAGACACTTCCACCTCGATGCATCCAAAGAAATCAAACTCATCAACAGCGTGCAGTTCATACAAGGTGAGCTCATCCTCTTGTTGTGCAGCCATTTCTGATGGACATCAGTGACCTCTGACATCAGTGACCTCTGTCTGTATTTTGATCGTTCTGCTGCTCTGTAGCTCCTCTGGCTCCCGTCATCGATACTCAGAAAACTCTAGCTTATGACCAGCTGTTTCTGTGCTGGCGCCTCCCTCAGGACTCGGCGCCGGCCTGGCACTTTTCTGTCGAGTACCAGCGCCGAGCCGGGGGAGCCGGAGCCGTGTGGGGCGGCGCCGGCTCCCCCAGTTCCTCTACGCCGTGGCAGCACCTGAACGAGGTGAAAGGGACCAGCGCGGTGATCGAGCGGCTGCAGATGGACAGCGTGTACGTTCTCAGGGTGAGGGGCTGCAACAAGGCTGGGTTTGGGGAGTACAGTGAAGAGGTTTACCTCCACACACCTCCCGCACCAGGTAAGACGCGCACACGCTAGCAATTATTTCGTACGTCGTGCAAATCTGTACCCTTGTTTCAAATGCACTTTCATTCCATTCTGAATTTAAAGACTGATAATTGGGGACTGCCTAAAGGCAGCACCTATTATTATCCACCTGACAAGGGTTTCTTAACTTTACATCTTACTCTTCCATCAACTTTAATGCAACTTGAACTGCAACGTGTACCCCCACAAATGTTATATCAAAATGACCGGTTTGGCGCCATGATGTGTGCTGTTGCTTTTACTGGCGTTGCCAGTTACCATGGCAACGTAATTTGAAAATGAAGATACAATTTTTCCCCATACAAAAAGCCTGACAGAACACCACCCTAACTGCAGCTGTGACGTCACATGACTGAGAGTGGAGAGCTCTTAGAAAATCACTGTTGGATTTGTTTGAAACTCACAAAAAGTAATCTTCAGATGTAGCACAAGAACTGATTAACGTTTGGAGCCATTTTGATTCAAGATGGCTGCCACAGCTACCTCCGCAAACACAGAATTTACTATAACGCAGTCATTCTTTGAGATATTGAGCTTAAATTTAATATGGTTGTAGCTGAGAGTGAGCTGTTATGCATTTCTTATACAAATCAATTATCCAAGATGGCTGCCTTAGCTAAAAGGGAATAAATACGATAACTCAGCCGTTTTTAGAGCTACTCAGCTGAAATTTGGTGTATTGATAGCTGAGAACAATCCCTAATAGACTCTGGCTACAAATCAAATATCCAAAATGGCTGCCTGAGCTAAAACAAAACAAAACAAAAACACTTAAAATCAGCCATTTTTTGGAGATATTGAGCAGAAATTTGATGTTAGCCAAGAGCATTTCCCATTAAATACTGAATTCAAATCTAAAAATTCAAGATGGCCAACAAAGCTGCATTTAAATGGCTTTAACTCAGCTATTTTTCCACATACAGTGCTGAAATTTGATGAGGTTGTAACTGAGACCATTCCCCATCACATACTGAATCCAAATCAAAAATCCAACGTGGCCACCTTAGCTAAAGGAAAACAATTGATAATTCGGCCAATGTAGAACTATTCATCTGAAATTTGGTATAGTGGTAGCTCCAACACATAGTACTGTCAAATCAAAATGTTAAATTGAAAGCAGCATGGCAGTCTGTCAAAGTTTCTCCAGGAACTTTGTAGTAACTTTTGCTGCTGAAATAGTTGGAAAAAAAGATCATTTTCTTCCCATTGTTGTCGTTTATCAATTAATTGACTAATCTTGTTTTTTCTTTTCTCTCCATCCCTTGATTTCCTCCATTCCCACTTTTTTCTATCTTAGTTTCCGCACAGATTTGCTTTTTTCTCTGCATTCCAGTGTCATCATCCCAGTCATAAACCTTCTGCTTCTGTCTTTCATGCTGCAGGTCTGTCTTTCTGCACTTTCAGAAGTTCTTTATTGTTTGAGAAGTTTTGTTTTGAACTACAGTATTTCCTGGTTTTAGCTAACTTGCTAGAACACTGGTGAAATGTACTGGTCTGTTTTTCTTGTTTCTGTCTGATAAAGTTGCTTCTTTCAACATTTTCCACTCTCATTATTTGTAGCTTTGTTTTTATTGTTGTGTAAATGTTGAGTCAGCGCTCACATTATTGTTTTCCTGCTTTTCATTTTTCTGCAACATTTTCCCAGTTTGACTACGACTGCATAATTCGTGCTTTTTTAGCCATTCCCATATCAAATTTTTCATTTGGGGGATAAATGCTGTGACTTTGTTTTTTTTTATTATATTTATATTTTTCTAAATATTTAACTTTATTTCCCAATACTTCCCACGTAGAAAAAAAAATCCCTCAAAAATATTGCTTTCATTGAAATCTTCAGCATATTTGTGCTATTTTTGCCTTTTTATGCTAACTTTAGTTTTTAGTTTTTGCTACTTTTGCATTTTGTTATTTTTTTTAAAGCTACTTTTAGCTGTTTTTTTTTTTTTTGCTACTTTTAGCTTCCATTTAGGCTTTTGGCACTTTAAGATAATAAAATGTTAGTATCATACTTTTATACATTTATATTTTAGCTAGCCTTTTTTATAAATGTTGATATATTTTGCTTTAATTTAGACTTTTGTTTTTTTTAGCTTTTAGCAAACTTTTTTTACTTCTAGCTTTTAGCTAGTGTTTTAGTACTTAGCGTACCCTTGCCCCTTTTCGTTAGCATTTTGCTACTTTTAGCTAGCCTAATGGTACATATAGCCATTAGCTAACCTTATGCTTCTTTTAGCTTTTAGTTAGTGTTCTGCTCCTTTACTCAGTTCAGCTTTTTTTGTAAATTTCAGCTGTCGTTCAGCATTTATTTTACCAAAACATACATTTTCACTGGTTTGTCACTTTTTTTTGTCTCCTTCTGTTTGTTTCTTGATAGTTTTGTTGACTTCTTCTCTTTCAACTCTCTTTTTTTTTAACCTGGGTTACATTTCTTCTTCTCTTTCAGTTTTGAGTTTCTCCTTGGACTCTCGCTGGGGTCTTCATGCTGACCGCTTAGCGTTGGGTAGAGGGCAGACTTACGCCCGCAGCGTGCCCGGTATTTCTCTTCTTCAGGCTGCGGATCGCGCCCTCACCTCGTGCCACTTGACCTCTGACCTGCTGGTGGCGGACCTGGCTGTCACTCAAGGCAGACACTACTGGGCATGCTCCGTGGAGCCTGGGTCTTACTTGGTGAAGGTAAGGGAAAGTTTTTGTTTTTTCTTTAACAGCAGCTTGAATAGACATGGAGCTTGTGTGGTCAAACATTTTCTGGTTTGTTTTTCTTAGTTTGCTCTTCTTTTTTTTTTTTTTTCTTCTACATACGCAGGTGGGGGTTGGGCAGGAGGCTAAATTACAGGAGTGGTTCCATCTTCCTCAGGATGTGACGAGCCCTCGGTAACAAAACAGAGTTTCATATCTTTTAAAATACAGGATGAAAGAGTAAAACCTTTAGTCATCTTATGTGCAGTCTCATAGATATCACGAGACGACACGCTTGAAGAGTGTGTTGTGAATGACTCTCAGGTACTACCACGTCAAATCTTAGCTCTGTGTCTGTAAAATCACCGAGCTGCAGCCATTTTTGTTTTGGCTAATATCGATTAGCTGGAATCAGATTAATTTGTATGATTTGTCAACTGATACAGCATTATCAATGAATTATCAATAAATTGTAGAAATCATTTAGTTATTTTGAAATATGAGCCACTTCTTCTAGTTTTGCCCTTTTCAACCTGATGTGCTCTCGTCTCCCCCACTCCCAGCTGTGACCCAGACAGCGGCCATGACAGCGGGGCAGAAGACAGCCAGGACTCCCCACCTTTTTGCTTTCTCACCGTGGGCACAGGTAAGATCCTTCTCCCGAAAGGACACAGTCTCACTCCGAGCCACAGTGACAGCCACAGTCAGCGAGGACTGCACTCCCACAATGGCGGGCCTCACCCTCACACCGCTCCCCTCCCTCCTCGGCTGGGGGTGTGTCTGGACTGCGACAAAGGCCGGGTCACCTTCTACGATGCCCACTCCCTGCGTATCCTGTGGGAGGGACACGTGGACTGCTCCGCTCCGGTGTGTCCGGCGTTTTGTTTCATCGGCGGCGGAGCGCTACAGCTGCAGGACCTCGTGGCCAATCGGATCATCGAGGAGCCGCCGCCACGGAGGGTGACCATCAAAACACGAGCAACAAATGCAAGAAAATAAACGGCTTATTTACACACGTTCCAGCCGTCTCTCCCTAACTTTGCAATTCTCCTTTGGACATTGTGGCTGAAGTGGTTTTAGACTATGCAGAATCCTGTTGGCAGGGTGAGTCAGACCTTGTATCGCTGTTGAAGAACCTCTTTAAGAAAAGGACCGCAACATTAGACAAACCTGCTGTCCTTTCACGTGGATCTATTTTGTCTCAGAATGGCAGGACAAGACAAGATGCATGTGACAAATAATGCACATGTTGCAGATGTTAGTCTGTTACCTGCAAAAAACACTTGACGTACTGTTGTCAAATTTTTAATCTTTTCTGTTTACACAGCTTAAGAAATGTTCAACGGAATGTTTAAATCTTTGGAAATGGGGTTCTGTGGCTATGAACTCTCATGGCTCATAGCTATGAACAGTTAATGTCTTACCTGTTGTAGATAGCTATTTGGTCAGCTTCAGGTTGGAAAAACGCAGTTTAATCGTGACCAGACTGATGAGCTAATGGCTAGTCTGAGTGAGCCCAACAAAGTGGATTTCTGTCATCTTAAAAAAAAAGTCCAGTCATAAATGTTTCTTTCTTAGCAGACCAGGCTTTAAAAAAAAACTTTATGTAGCCAACACTTTCACTTAGCACTTTTATGTACACAGGATTTTACGTTTATTTTTGAGTTCAATCAGGGCCACAGCTAACTGTAGCACTTCCTGTGCAGCCTAGGGCACCTCCTGCAGGAAGATCTATAATTCTTACACAATGACTGTAATGTGAAATGAACAATACAGTAGTCCCTCATTTATTTCGGGGGTAACGTTCCAACCCCACGCCCCGTAATAGCTAAAAATCCATGAAGTAGTGGCATTATATTTATTTTAGTATTTATATATATTTTAAGGCTTTAGAAATCCTTCCCACACTCTATCTAAACACTCTAAACTCCTAAACATGCATCATTTTTACAACATACGTATATGTAGCTACTAAGTTTTACTCACCAGGCTCTGCAGAACAGGAGCGGCTCTCGGTTCCACTCGGTTCCGTTTCTGCAGACCTACCCTGCAGCGACAAAGCCCACGTTCTAAACTTTAAACCTATTAATTTTAACAACATACTTAAATGTAGCTACTAAATTTTACTCACCAGCTGGCCAAACAGCCGCGGCTCTCAGTTCTGATCCAGTTCTGTGCAGCCATTGAGCGCCAAAGCACATTGGGGTTGGGGTTTGGATGGCCAGCGTGGGCCCGGCAGTCTGATAAAGAGATTTTAGAAAGTTCTGGTGTGTTCCAGAGCGTAGCCGGACCTTTGACGGCATCTCCCCAGCTCGAAAGTCCCCATGGGCCGGCTACCAGCTCTCAGATTTGCCGATGGTTCTGGAGGTCCCGTTCTGCTCAGTTCTGCTCCAGTTCTGGTCCTGTTCCCGGTGGGTTCCGTGTGGCTCTCTGAATCCTTTGGGCGCCGAAGTCACTGCAATAAGCACCAAACTTTTTCAGATCAGATCAAAACTTTACTTCTATGTATTTCAGCAGAAGGCAGTGGGGATTCTGGGCAGGGCACGGTTGGCTTCTGGGAAATGTAGTCCTTATGAGCGGAGATACAGTGCAGGCTTATTGAGAGAAAACTACAAAATGGCAGCACCCGTTCGAAGTATTTAAATTTTTTGTTAACTTTTTACTGTACAGTATCCAGTACTGTCCCAATCTCATAAGTCATATTAAAGTTGACAATCATGTATCCTGTACAATTTTTTTTTTTGTGTTCAATCCTACTTTGAAAAATCATGAATTCGCGAGGGACTACTGTATTATCTTTTGTTAAAGAGTTTGCATAAACTGCTACAAATGTTTTGAGACTGGTTGTTGTAAGACAGCAGAAATCCACTTTAAGCTAACAGCTCAATGGCTTGAGCCTTTTGGCAGAAACTGCAAACAGCATACACGATGGAGTTTCCAAAATGTCTTAAAACATTTGCGGGAGTTATACTTTTTGTGTTTAAAAGATTAGGGAACTTAATTTTCTCCTAAAATACGGTAGTCACAGTCGTTACAGTAGCCTGGGGCATGATTCAAACCACTTTTGCTTTAGTTTTTGTAATTCTGGAGCACTGAAGTCGTGTTGTTTTACTCAGTTTATGTAAACTCCTGGTTAATTATGGCCCAGAGCTGGTGCAAACATTTAGTGTGATTGTAAGTGAAATTTTGCACATTTTTTCACATTTATGTGTCTCCATTAACAGTTGTCTCCCAGTGAGACACACTTTAGTCTTTAACCTGCCGTGAGTAGCCATTAGCTCATTAGTCTGTTCAGAATTAAACCAGTTTTCTCCAAACTGCGATAATTCAAAGAGCTATCTACTGCAGGTAAGATATTACCTGCTTATAGCATTTCCACAAAACCCCACATCAAAAGATCTGAACTCTCTCTTTAAGATGTGTTAATGTGAATATAACACAGTATTAGAGAATGTGAATATTGTCAGGAATGTCCTCCGTTGGAACCACATGGAACAGAACGGCCCAGTTTTGCCTTTTGAAGAACCCGTGCAGCTGCATCGTTCTGCACACAGCCGCCTTCGGGTTTTCACACTGCAACAAAAATCTAAAAGCTTCTGAATGAATGATGTTTTCATCACTGCTTGACCCATAAACAAAAATGGATGTTCTAAACTTTTATATAAAGAGAGGAGTTGTCATGTTTTGGATTGTGTGTCTGAGTCAAATGCACATAAATGTTAAAGGTTAGTGAAATTAATAATAGATATAAAAGTACAAGACTTGGTTTTTTTACATTACTTTATTTTTTACTTTATTTTTTTCTCACAGTAGAATGTATTTTATTTAGTTGCCACTAAAGTGTTATTTGTTGTTTTTGGAGAATAAAGGAAGCTGTCTGGTGGGTTTGGTGTGTGCGTGAGCATTGGCTGTAACTTTCATGTTTTCTGTGCCGACACACTCCTGACACTCCACTGAAGGCTCTAGACGTCGTGCACCGTGCTGTTACAATTATGTATATGTGTGTTTGTTTGTATGAGGACTTCACACGTGTTGCACACTTCCTGTTTGGAAAATGGGATTCTGATTTTAATGGTTCTGCCTGCGTCTGCTGTGGTTGCCATTTGTTCTTTATGCCTTTCTATTTATTCCGTGTCTTTCTTTATGGTCATTATGCTTCTCTTTATGAATGTTTTATGTCATTTTTTTTATTATTACTAAGCTTTTTGTAAAGTTTTGCATTTCTTGTGGTCATTCTTGGTCACATTTGGGTCATTTTACGCCTCTTCTACACATTTTGTCATTTTGAAGCCGCATTCTGAAGAGTTGGTGTTTCATTCATCTTTAACCCTGATTTATATTTTACCTTTGTTGTGTATCTCCCTTGTGTTATCTATTTATGTGTGTATTTCTCATTTTGCCTGTTTGTTTCTCTTTTTTGGTCATGTACGAATTGGGAAAAGACTGGAGCTCCTCAGACTCCTTTGTATCCTGAACCAATTTATTAATCTGTCTTTGTGTTTGGTGTTTTGAACAACTCTACTGTTGTGCCCGCACAACACTTGAATGGCTTCAGACTGTAGCTTCTGTAATCAGAATCTCTTTATCTTAGAATTGACCTATTTGGAAGAACACTTCCATCATGTCATGAGGGAAAAAAAAAAAATAAATCTGTAACATTTCTTACACTTTTTGCTATAAAATGCACATTATATGCATTATATAATATATACAGTATATACATACATACACACACACACACACACACATATATATATATATATATATATAGCAATGTTATCAACTTTTTTACTTTTCTCTTGAGCTTCAAAAATATTGAGTACAAATAATAGCATGTCAATACACCATTTTAAGAATATAAAAAAATGTTCAGATTCTTTTATATGAGGTTCTGTGAAAACGTTACAAACAAACATCTTACCTGCTTTAGATGGATTTTGCGCAAGTAACATTTTCGCCTCTACCCTTAAAAAAATGATCTGCCCCTAAAAGTGCAGGTGAGTGCTGAGCTAACCAGGCAGTCATACATGGGCAGGAGCAATGACCAGATGGAGGAGGTGCCTGGAGGTTTCATATGTGGAGTCGGACAGTGAAGAGTCGGCGCGGAACCGTCAAGTAAGGGTGAGGGGGCAGGATGCTTTACAGAAGGGGAGTGTTTACAAATATAAGTAAACGTAGATGTTTAACAAGCTGTTAAAATACACCAAAATGCAGGAAATTGCATCTACTTTATTCAAAATTTTCTGGGGGAGCCCCCACACATTCCCACCCCAGCCAGCCCACCTGCTATTTGCGTTCTGGCATCAATCTGTTTACTAATTAAGCCCTGGATGGAGTAGCTGTTAAGTTGTTTATTTGGTCAGAATTAAAATCTGTTTCTCCCGACAGGTCATTCAAAAATCTGCAAACAGGTAAGATAGTGGCTGCGCAGCGGCTCAGTGGTTAGCACTGTTGCTTCACAGCAAGAAGGTCCTGGGCTCAATCCCCAGTTGGACCTGGGGTCTTTCTGCGTGGAGTTTGCATGTTCTTCTCGTGCTTGCGTGGGTTTTCTCCGGGTACTCCGGTTTCCTCCCACAGACTAAAAACATGCATGTTAGTCTGCCTTCAGGCCCAGGCCTCCCTTACAAAAGAGATCTGTGATCTCAATGGGATTTGACTGGTTAAATAAAGGTAAATAAAAAATAGTGATTGTGCATAACCTTTTGCACATGAACACTTTATAAAAATTGGAACGATTTCCCTTTTGAAGCTGAATCCTTCTAAACTTTTTGTTTTGCGATATGAGTCAAGAAAACTTCTGGGACGAGCGGTAAAACATGGATAATAATGAAAAACGTTGAGTTTTCCTTCACAGGTAAACTTTGAGAATCTAGACCTGTTTTCATCACTTAATTGCCATGAAAGAAACAAAATTCATGGCTGTCCTACAAAAACAAAATGTATATAATTTGATCCATGCAGCTTGTTGCCTTCTACACACTGTAAATATGTCTCTCAAGCACAAACATACGCTTACGGGGAATTTGATCAAAAATAGCCCTCTTTCTTCAGGCAATAGAAAGAAGTGACGAGTGTGTGCATGAAAAGGCAAGCGTTCATTTAATCATTTGCCTGAAGCTGTTTGATTAGAAAACGCCAGTGCATACAAAGTTAATCCAACTAATCTGCACAGAAACAGGAAACATTTGTTTCCCTGAAAGCAGCAGGACAACCGATGAGCTGTGGGTTTGTGAGTCGTTACAGAGCGGCAGAGCTTGTTGAACAGGGAGCGAGCACAGTTCTGTTGTTCCCCTGACAGGGTGATGTACAGATATGTTCTGAAAGCACAGATAGATGGACTTTATGCAACAAGACTAATTACAGAGGTGAAGATTTAAAAGCAGAAAGGGGGTGAAAAAAAAATGTGCCAAAGTTCAGCAGCTCTTCCAGCAAACCCTCAGAAGAGGGCACTGTTGGTTTGGCTTTGCAGCCAGAGTTGTCTCTGCTTTTTGAAAAATTAATTTAAAGCAGCATGTGGGTTGTGTGCCATCTCAGATGTTTTCATGTTAAACTGCAAATAAGGAGAGGTTTAACCCTTTAGAGCTGTTTAAATTCATTTATTTATTTCTGACTTATTGTGTTTTGTTCTTTGTTTGGGACAGTCTTTCTAAAACAATAGTGAATGTACTAATTTCAGCCAAGACTTTGTTTTTTTTTCTTATTTGCTTTCTCTACGAGAATTTCACGTGTTAGAAAGAGCTGAGTCATGCAACAGAAAAACACTAACAGAAACAAATAAAAACATCAACGTTACCACAACATGTTGCACACAGAGATACCTCTGATATTTGTAAGTGTGGTTCTGTTGGAAGTTTGTGATTAGTTCATATCTTACCTGCTGTAGATAGCTTGATGATTTCAGTACTCAAAAATAAATTTTTATTTTGACTGATGAGCTAATGGCTAGTAGGGTAAAAAACCCTAAGTTTATGATGTTCATAAGTTTATGACTAAGTTTATTGATGCTCAAAGGGTGAAACACAAAAGCAGTGTCAAGATGTATGAATTCATTATTTTTAATAAACTGGACTGGACTGTGCCACAGAGTCTAGTGCTTTTTTTAAACACTTCTTATTGTCAAGTGTTGGCGCTCCTAAAAAAAAAAAGTTTACTCACTCCCCACTTGGACATCCAGGTTCCCGTAGCAGCTCCTGCACATTTTTGACGGTTCTTCTTTTCTGTTTTAGTCTGAGCTTCTTTTCAATTCAAAAGTTTTAAAATGAGTGAAGATGGATTAATTTTTGAGGTTCATTCAGCACAAAGATATTCCATCGTGACCCATTGCACACATTTGTTTTGGCTCTTTTCATAAAAATAAATAAATAAATAAATAATAATAAGTTTAAATAAAACTTGGAGGCAATATTTCAAAGAAGATCTGTGTGTTATTACAACTCACGTCAGCTTGATGTGTCCAGTATGTGGAAAACCTCCTGCCTTGTCCCAGTACCAAATAAAACCAGTCCTATAGACCTGTTGCCCTGACATCCCACATCATGAAGGTCCTAGAGAGACTTCTGCTGACCCACC